AGTCTGTTAAGTAGGCGGGCGTCGCCAGATCAGTACACCATGCAACCAAGCAACACATGCACGATCTTCGTTGAGCCCTTGCAGAAAGCTCGCGTATGTTATCCTGGTAGGGCCGGTCAGAGTCCACTTCAACCATTGTTCGTATTTACTGTTGTGATGGAGGGGTGAGGCTAAGGAGGGAAGGTCTGTAGGTTATTGATAGGACGGTGCACAGAGTACCCACTCAGCAAGAATAAGTTGCTAGATTGGGGCAATGGCTTGTATGGGGCTACGATCTGCATAACCGTTGGGGAGGAGGGGGAAAGGGCCCACCATATGGTATACCTGGAGCGGTAATTAAAGGTAAACCAGCCATGACTAGGCGATTGCAAATATAACTGGTAAAGTAACCAGGTGCTCAATTGAATTCTTTATACATGCCCCGAAAATATTCATTCAAAACACCTTATGCCAAGTACCTATATAGGGGTATTTCCCATTGACCCAGATTCAAGAACGCCCTGTCCAGTAGCGAAAAATCCCTCAATGTATGAGATCGAATACGCGAAAATGATACGCATTTATCATCCAGGATACAATCCCGGAAGCAGGAAACGACACCTCACGCGTCTCTTCCCTTCGGTCGATAACAGCAACAGATCCCCCTCCCCTCGCACCATTCCTTCACCAGCGCCGCGCCAACCTCACGATCCTCATTGACAAGACCCAGACCCTCCGTGTTCAGCCAGGTTGTGAAGTCCTCAAGGATGATGGGATCATACATGAGGATTTTCTCGTGCCAGCTGGGTTGTCGGTTGGTGCTGGTGGGTCGGAGTCGAGGCTGTACGTGCACGGCCTGGGTGATCTGATCGTGAAGGTTGGGAGCCTCGAGGCTCAGCTTCGTCGCGCTCTCAGTGATCTTTGGCGAGGGGTTGGATGGTTTGATCTTGCTGGAGGTAGGTGGAACGGTGATAGTGGTGGTGGTTGGTAGGCTTGGTTGAGGTGCGGCGTGGTGCTGGAGGAGGTATCTTTCTCGTAAGCGGCTCGGGGAGGGAATACTCTCGTCTTCTTCGGAGTCTTGTATCTCTTCAACGTCTGCAAAAGATATCGTGGAAGTGACGCCATTCGTGAGCGATAAGCGATTGGGTTTGGTGGGTATTTGTGATGGGTTGGGAGGTTTGCTCCTGGCAGCTGTTGGTTTCATCGAGGCCGTTGTTGACTCGGTGATTGTATCTGATTTCTTCGACTTTGGTTTTGCGTCTGTTTTCTTGGTGGTTGTAATTTTTCGCGGCTGGGTGCCCTTGGTTGAGGTTTTGGGAATGACTGTTTCCGACAGTGATGAGGTAGGGGGTTGGGGAGCCGGGTTACCTGGTACGCATGGAGCAGCTGTACCATGCTTGGTTTCCCAACATTTGGTGAGAATCTCGATCATTTTTGGGCGGCTTTTTATGGGCTTGAATCCATAAGAGGCAACTCGTTTGGATAGTTGAGCATCTGTAAAACCACTGAAGTGCGGCATTTTAGGCTGCCGGGCTCGAGGTTGTGATGTGCCCGGACCTGCTTGCCTGTCAAGAATGTCTGAGGTTTCAGGAGCAGAGGTAGACAGATCTTCTGCGGGTTTCTGTGCATCGGGCACTGCTTCTTCGTTGGAAAATGCAGGTACATTTTTATCCTTCTTTTCCTTGCTGTCTTCACTGTTGACAGCAGACCGAGGCCTCGGTGTATCGGAGCCGTCTACTAAGTCGACTACCTCAACCGGCAAGACCGTCCCGTCAACATCGCGGGCTGCGACAGACCACAGATTTCTCGAAGCCGTGAAACGTGAGACTGTCAATGGTAGGCTTTCGTTTGCGCCATCTTTCACGCGGATGCTTGTCTCCAGTGCTAGACTTTGCTCTGATTCCCGAGTTGCTGTTTGCAACGCTCTTATCATAGTAGGAGAGTCTTCACGTTCTAACTGACTGCAAGTGCCAAAGACCAGCTCTTGATCCTCGAGAGATCTGACGGCGGCTTCAGGTGAGAGTATGACAAGCTCTGGTTCCTGCGCCCTAGTGTTCTTCCGCTTCTTTGTTGTCGATTTCTTGGACGTGGGGACTGATGGCATACTGGCCGAAGAACTGCCCTCCGAATTGTCCATAGCTTCCGTAGCATTGGTGAGATACTGAGCAGTTACCCTCGCTGTAAGTGTTGAGAACTTCTTTGGCTTGCTGGCTTTCTTTTTCGCGGCAGGGGCTTTGGAACTCGAGGTTTCATCTTCAGTGGAGTGATTGTCGCTACTCTCATTGGTTTTTGGCTTGTTCCCAGGATATACTCTAGCGTCAATAAGCTGTGAGAGAAGTTAGTGCCTGAGTAGGAAGTGACGGGTCGCCCAGATCCAGCAGATGGGACATACTTCGATGCGCCTCCTCTTGGTGGGGCCGTTCTCCTCTGGAATCTGATTCATAGTCCGAGGAGCAGAGCCACCACCAAAACCAAACTCCGATAACATAGTTCCGAAACTTTTCATTTCATTACTGTTGTGATCCAATTGAATATCCAATCCACCAGTTTGTTCTATAGTGCCGTCCGTGGGCGTCCAATCCAGTCTTCTCTTCAACGCTTGTTCCAATTGCAGGCCATCCTTCTCCCAGTCGCGGGTATCATTCGCAGAGTTCTGATCCAAAGAAACCTGCGGGGTTAAGGGACAATCGGTCTTCTTGCCAGATTGTCCCTCGATTGGCTGCGACGAGCTACCAGCCTTCGCAACCCTCCCTGAAATGGTCTTATTTGCAGTTGTCGCGCGCTTTGTCGTAGTCTTCGGTACCCTCGGTTCTCTTTCCCTGGGAGTCGGCTTTTTCGAGGAGCTGTTCTTATACGGACCCTCGCCGCCCGCATGGCTTGAATCTTCCACGCCGGCCTCTGCTTTCTTCTTGGGCCTCCCTCTCTTTTTTACTTGTTCCTCAGGTTGAACATCTCTGACCCCTGTCGCACCTGCCTCTTCGACATCCGTAGACTTGCATGCGGCTTTTGTGGGTTTCCGAGCTCGTCTGGTGGACGGTTTCCCGCCCTCTAAGAATTCGGAACGCGTAGGGTCCTGGAAGAGGTCCGACGGGGACGGCGGCTGAGAATTGGAGGTATCGATCGGCGACAGTCCGAAGAGCTGCTGTGCGTCGTACTTGGGTGGCGCAGGTGTATTCACTGGGCTGTGCTCTGGCGAGGACGACAGTACAATGACCTCCGCGGTGGCGGTCATGGTGGCGAGTCTCAACAAGTCCGGTCTCTCCGGGCCATCTAGGCGGCGATGGTCCGTATAACTTCGCTTGAGATATGACTCACAAGTCTCTATTCTATGGTGCGGTTTTGACCATTGATTGTGGTATAGTGCATGAGTCGCTGGGCCGAACAAGATATATTGAATTTGCAAAAGTTGTAGATGCGGCGAGGATCGAGACCTCCGCGATGAGTCTTGGCAAAGTTGAAGGATTTCCGTTTCGGGATGACGACATCGGTGGGCTGGGCAACCGTGTGCATGTGATCTGTTCGCCCACCGCTACCATCTTAGCCTGTACATACCTACAGCAAGTGGAGTTATTTCACTTAAAAACTGGTTTAGCAATGTATTGATCACCGGGTATATCTATGCTATCCGTTCTAGTTCATTGCTGTGCAGGAACTATGTACATGGCACTGCGACTATGAGCAATATCCGTCTAAATCCCATGCACAGATCCCGGAAAACCTTGTCTCTTAGCTGCTAGAGTAATAGCGCTCCAAATGATTCACTCATTCCGGAGAAGCATCTCTCGGGACAAGCCTTGGACGGGGCCAAGCTTGGTTGGGGATGTTTAACACAGACCCAAAATGCGATAGGCAAGTCGAATGGCGTGAAGCAGCAGATGGCTGCTTCCACAAGCCTGTTGATGTTCCATCATGGAAATTGGCAGGAAAGGTATCTCAACCTTTACGTGCCGATCAAGTGGCCCCACGCAACGCAATCGCTCCCAAGACAGAGAGTTCAAGTTGTCTCATACCATCGCCCTGTGTGCCATTTGCTTGAGTGGAGGGAGGAGTCTTCAGTGCACCCAGCTTATAAGCCTTCTTGATTTTCGTCACATCGGCGATGTTCGACAGGGTCTCGTCGTCAAACGGCACAGCCGAGCCTTCAACATGTTGAGAAAGATGGGTTGCTACTGAGTCGTGAGTGACGTCCGGTGTCATCGAGACCTTGATCACTAGCAGGTCTTTGGTGGAGTCGGCAATGCCGAATTTGCGGAATGATTCGGCGATCTGGAGAGAGTTAGCCAGGCTGTCGGTGCTTGTCGTGTTCCACCTCCTCAAAGACGCACGTTGTTCGCTGGGCTGAATGAGAAAACAATCTCTGAGTGAACATTCCGGGACTTAAGGCGTCCATTGATCGAGTCATTCACGGCTCGGAAGACGGCGGACAAAGCATGAGCTCTGGAAAGAACCTGCGAACCACCATCAGAACCAATGAATATTGACTAGCCCAGGGTTTTGATGACTATCCATACCATGCTCGCATCGATGAAGGCATACTCAAAGTCGGCGTTTCCTGAGATCAGCTGTTGTCGAAGAGAAGCAGCATTTTTGACATCCCGATAAAGTGCGACATGCACGGGCATCGAAGGTGGCAGATGCGCAAGCTCTATGGTTTCGAGGCACGAGGAAGACATGGCGCGAAGCGAGGCTATCGATTACGGAACAGATCTGCCGAGAAATGGTCAGACATACAACAGAGGCACATGCTAGAAGGTGCGAGGTCACTTACAAGTATTGAATAGAACTGAATCGCAGATATCCGGCTTAAGTCCCTTAATTCCCCCCTCCCCCACCAAGATTATCGCCGAGCGCGGCCAGCGCTGAGTAATTATTGAGTCACTTACACGTGACTTCACTTCTCGAACGTTCGGGCCGCCGTAGCCAGCGGCACCCCGGATTGATATCATCGCTTCGTTTTTAAAGCCGCTTTCCTCCTCTTCCTTCTCATCGTCATCATCCTGCAATACACCACCCGAACAATTATGGCGTTCTTCTTGCGGCGCCCGTTCGCCGTTCCGACGGCGCTTCGTCAAATCTCCAAGCCTGCTAACAGCGCTCGTTTCATCCACAACACACCATTCAAGCCTGCCCAGCCGAAGCCTACCGGTTCCTTCTCGTCTTCCATCTTCGCCAAATCCCGCCAGACCTTCCAGAATGCTTTCCGCCGGACGTATATGCAACAGCCCACTTACAACACTCGTGGCGAACTTCTGCAAAAATTGGGCTACGGTGCCGCCATAGTAGGAGGTACCATCATCGCAACGAACCTGATTTTCAACCGCGAGACCCGCGAGGATGGCGGTATGCCCCATTACGAGCGCAGCTACCTGAACGAGACTTTCATGCACACCGGACTTGGTGTTGGTATTATCGCTATTGCCGCTCGCGCTATGCACATGAACGGATTCTCCTACCGCATGATGGCTGCCAACCCTTGGTTGGTCATGGGTCTTGGTCTCGTCGCTAGCATTGGAACTATGTACGGTACTTTGTACACTTCTCCTGACAAGTGAGTACTCCGTGAGGCGTCCCCGTTCTAGCTAGGCCGAACAGCAATGCTAACAACACTACTAGCTACGTCATGAAGTATGGTCTCTGGACTGCTTTCAACATTACACAAGCCGCTCTCCTGTCCCCTCTCATGTTCATGAGCCCCGCTCTGCTCGCCCGCGCCGGTCTCTACACTGTCGGAATGATGGGTTCCATTGCTTTCGTTGGTGCCACCGCCAAGCAGGAGAAGTACCTGTACCTGGGTGGTCCTCTGCTCGCTGGTGTTGCCATCGTTGCTCTCTCCGGTCTCGCTCCTATGGTTCTCCCTGTCACCGCCACCCGCACTCTCATGTGGTCCGAGAAGATCTGGCTGTACGGTGGTCTGGCTGTCTTCGGTGGTTTCACCCTCTATGACGTCCAGAAGATCCTTCACCACGCTCGCCTCTCTCAGCGCGGTCTCGTTCGCAAGGATGTTGTCAACGAGAGCATCAGCTTGACCCTGGATTTCATCAACATCTTCGTTCGCATGGTCCAGATTCTGGGCATGCGCCAGCAGCGGAAGTAAACGTTTCGCTATGGCTTTTGAACACAACATTCTATCCTGTGGATTCATCGAGAGCCACTTTGATGACCGGTTGACTACTCGTCACATTAATAACCGGATTCTGTTGGAATTCGGATCATGGAGAAGTTGGAACAAGGTTGACTGATATTTCGGTTCTGCTTAAGCGCCCGGTGTAATTTTATTCCTTTCATGTTTCCCACTGATCCTCCTTTACTGCCTGTAGATGGAACATTTTTTCTAGGGCACATTCCAATCCCCCCCTATGCTGGTGGACAGCAAGGTCGGTCTTAATGCTAGGAACTGGGGGGTCCGGCATCAAATGTATGCATAGCTTTAGTATTAGCCGCATACCAGGAGGAAACAATAGACATCTCCACTCAACATCATCCGCTTCATATTTTTTCATCACCATTCGTAATTTTTGGGCGGGAGTTCCGTTATTCTGTAGTTTATTTCCTTCGGCGCAAGCATCTGACCTATAATTGATGTCATGTTACTCAAACCCACAACTACACCAACTCTACCGTAATCCACCTCACATCCCCAGGACCAGGACCACCATCCACAACCCGACCAGTACCGGTACCCCCATCCCAGTGCCCCAGCCCCCAACAACACTCACAGAGGAAGCCCCCGACGGTATCCCCGTATTCCTCCCCGTACCCACCGAGCCACCAGCACCAGCACCATTTCCTCCTCCTCCACCACCCTGGCCCCCCTCCCCCCCTCCCCCCGTCCCCAATCCACCATCACCATCAATCTCCCCCTCCCCAAACCCACACAACCCACTCCCCTCCATCCACCTCACCGGAAACAACACCCGAGGTTCCCCGCGATCCATCCCCAACCACAACTCCCCAACCTCACTCACGGTATACCGCTGACAGCTCAGCACCTCCACCACCTCGACGGAGGGCTGGAACCCCGTCGTCAGCCGGATCTTGTACGCGCCGCTGGCGCTCCCCTGCGTCGACAGCACCATCACCACCGGGCGGTCCTCGCGGCCCTTCCGGAACCCCATCTCGCTGGACCCGCGGTACAGCGGGTAGGTGAGGGTGTCGACGTAGGCCGCGTCGAGGCGGATGGCGTGGCGGCGCAGCGCGTTGAGCGTCGCGATGTGCGTGTACAGCGGCGCGGCCTCAGGCGTGGTGGCGTATCCCGTCAGCCACAGGGCTTCGCGGTTCTGGGGGTCGTGCGCACCGCTCAGGTGCTGTTCTTGGCCCTGGTAGATCATTGGGATGCCGTCGTAGAGGAGGGTGAATGTTAGGATGTTTTTTGCGAGCTTGCGGGATGGGTTAGTTTGGGGGTGAGGGGGGGGGAAGATTGAGGAAAGGAGGATTGGGGTTAAAGGGGAAAGAGGGCTTACGTTTAGATCGTTGATTAGGCTGGCGAAGCGTGGAACGTCGTGGTTCTCGGAGAAGGTGGTCAGGGTGCTCACGTTGGGGCAGGCGTGTTTCATCTCCTCGATGCGGTTGGGGAGGTCGGTGGTATCGCCCAGCGTGAAGGCGTCGAGCAGCGCGTAGTAGATCGGGTAGTTGGGGACGCTGGTCAGCTCGTTGTTGGCCTGGTAGCTGCAGATGGTGTCGACGGACCGGTCGAAGACCTCCCCGGTCACCAGCGAGTCGTTGGCCGCTTGCTGGAAGGCCCGCAGGTAGGCCGGGGTGATATGTTTGGCGGCGTCGAGCCGGAGCCCGTCGATCGAGTACTTGGCCATGGTCTCGGAGATCCAGCGGTTGAGCATGCGCTGGACGTCCGGGTCTTCGGTTTTGAGGTCTGGGAGGGCGACGATGTCGTCGCCCGTCCAGCACCGCTGCGCCAGCGGGTAGTCGTTGTAGTCGGTGATTGGGCAGTACGGGTGGTAGTACCGGGCCTCGTTGAAGGGCTGCAGCTTCGAGTAGTCGATGCTGGTGGCCGGGTCGCGGCCGTTCGTGAGGTAGGCCATGTTGTTGATGACCGTGTCCATCATCAGGTACATGCCGCGGGCGTGGAGGGCCTCGCTCAGGTCGAGGAGATCCTGCTCTGTCCCGAAATGCGGGTTCAGCGCATACAGGTCTTCGGCCCAGTAGCCGTGGTAGGCTTCCCCGTACGAGACGCGCCCCTCGACGTTCTTGATGATCGGCGAGATCATCACCGCGTCGAAGCCCATGCCCTCGATGTAGTCCAGGTGGTCGATCATGCCGCGCCAGGTGCCCCCGCAGTATAGACCGGCGGTCGTGTTGCAGGGCGCGGTGGTTGACCCATCCGTGCGAGCAAATCGGTCAGTCATCGTCTGATACACCGATCTGGTTCTCCATGCCCCGGTGCTGGCCGTCAATGCCGTGCTGAAGGGGCTTATGAGCATCAGTGCATGAAGCCATCGCGCTGTGCGGAGTGGTGATGCCATGGCGTGCTAGTGTGCTTGCAAGTGTATACTGGAAAGATGCTATGTTATGTGACAAACAATAATGGGAATGTTATTTTCAGTGCCACCGCTACTTTTTTGTTTCTCATATATCTTCCATAGTCCTGCTTGAGAGCAAGAAGACAAGAGAAACAGAGGGTTGATGTCGAAACCCGGTGTATTAAGGAATGGTTGATCTCGAGATTCTCGAATCGATACTTTAGATGGCCTCGACAAATGAATGTGATTGCGCAGGAAGATTAAAGAAAGACAACGCACACGGAGAGCCAAAGATCGGACTCTGTCGCAGAAGGAAGGACTAGTTGGAAAGACAATAGACAGGCATGATGGAAATTTCCATCCAAAGCAGTGCTACCTAGCCCCCCTTTAAAGCGTATTCGTCGACAGGCTCGGCCGACTAGGACCGGCAAGATGCAGAATCGGCAGTTCAGACTCTGAGCGGCCGACTCTGAGAAGGTTCATTATAGGGTTGGGCAAGATGCCCCTCGGCGATTTATGGTTCAAGGGGAGAATGACCTGCATACTGCCAAGTGGAGCTGCCAGAAGTTGCTCTGCAGGCTTTCATAATACGCGATGGTACCGAATGGGAAGAACCATGAAGAATTTCGAAACTGTGGCTGTGAGGATATTGCAATGTACTGACTGTACGACAACACGCTGTGCTGTTTCGATCGAGTCTCGCTCGTTCTGATGAAGCATGCAGGCATAACTCCGGATGCACGAACCGGCACAACAGTTCGCGGGGAGAAAACGGTCAACGTAGAGGCGGTCTCTGGTCCTGACCTATGCTGTAAGTATCCTTGGGTGGATTCACATGCGATTGGCTCGTTTTGAATCGTCCTGACGGTCTGTGAAACAATGGCAGCCCTTTCTGTATGCAAGGATCATCCCAGCCGCACTGCAACAGTCCATCATGGCCGAGAGCGTGTTGCAGCATGCGGTAACCTGCAGCTCATGCGGTTTTCGATGAACTGTTTCGGGAATCGAGGAGGTTGGATGAGAAGAATCGAGATGCTCAGGGAGCTTTCTTAAAGCAATAAGCATAGTCTTCTGGAGCGCCGTCCTGCATCTTCACTCATAAACAGGGCATCATTTGTCCTTCTACGGAGGATTGTGTTTTCAATCCATCCGGCCCTTCACAAGAGAATAGTATGTAAGGGACAAACCCAAAACACCTGATCTCGCCTGGAAAAGCTTGGCATAGGCACTTTGGCTTTGAGGACGGGCGATTCATACCTTCGATCCGATCTTCTCAACTGGTTTTTGAAGAAACGAGGAACGAGTATTCTAGCTGAGGAAGGTAGCTATGCACGGAATCTCTGCTCGGATGCAGAGACCAAGATACATCTGGGGAATACCTGCGCATAGGAAGAGCCTGGTGTGGTTTCGACCAGGTACGGTACAGAGCATCTATGCAAGGGGTGTCGTCGGGATGGTATCATTCCTTCATAAGTCCGAGCCAAATTAGCAGATATCACATGATAGAATCGACAGATAAAGTATTTGATCATGTGAGACGCAAGTCTTAACAGCTGGGGTCTCTCTCATGAATCCATGGCTTGGATACCCTGGAAGATACAGCACCATATAAGATCAAGAACGCGGACAATCAAGCTTAGATTAATCATTTTCTTTTCGGTGTTTTGCCGCAGATCATCTGTAATAACATTACCTCATTAGATATTAACGTTCCACATCATGGAAGATTGATCCGAACTAAAAAGACATAAAGCGTTCCCACCCTCAATACCTGCCCCCAACGCTGATGCAAAGACTGAAACGAAGACCTTGATGCTCCATGTGACCCTAATTTTCGAATATCATATGCATATGCTGAATCTGCACATCCCCGCTAACCTCCAAGATAAGTCGTGGTGTAAGACCAGTGACATCGTAGGCTGTAATCGTCACAATCCCCTCTTGCTCTTCGTATGTCCTCCTTCTCACTACTAAATCGAAGTCAGATGTGATGCGCAGCACACGGTTTCAGCCGCGGAGCTACGACGGCAGTCAAGAGAGCCTGTCGTTATACTCGCGCGGAGTGAACGGGGAGGAATTGATGAAAGCCATGAGATGCACTGCATATGCCTGGTTAACGCGCTCGATCCTGTCCGCGTCGTTCAGTGCAACTTTGTATCTCGCCGAGACAGGCTCCTGACGGCGGACCTTATTCAGTCCCTTGCCTTTCTCCTTCCTGGCTTTGATCTCCCTCTGAATGGCACGCACATCCAAGCCCCCGACCCGAGGTGTCATCATCATCCCCGCCATCTGACAGTAGTTCTCCGAGGTAATCTGGTTGAACGCCTTGAGGATCAGCGCCACCGTCTTCCAGCGCTTGCATCGTTTCTCGGGCAAACGGATCTGGATGAACTTCTCCGGCCAGCGGCACTCGTACACATCCTCGAATAGGCGCATGTAGGGCGGACACTCGAAGAAGCCGCGCACTTTCTCCTTCAGGATCATCTTGTTGCCCCTCACGGCCGAGGCGGTGCGTCCGATCCGCAAGGTGAGGAGCAGGGAGTGGTCGGAGAGACCCTCAAGGTTCACGAACTGCACGTACTTGGCTTTGAGGATCAGGCTGACGTCGACCGACATGCAGCGGTTGACGGGATTGGGGTAGTGCTCGTTGATGAGCATTCGGTTGCCGACTGCATCGAAGGTCACGTCTAGCTGGGTTTCGTCCTGGTGCAGCTCGCGGATCTGGCCTGTCTCTGGGCCGCACACGACAGCTTCGAGCTTGGGGAATCGGGTAGGATATCTGAAGTGGCAGACGCACGACGGATCGTCGCTGCCCGAGGGAGTTCCAACGTATGAGAAATCTTGTCTTGTTTGTTGTTAATGTGGGAGGAAGAGACTTGCCATGGATTGTTTGCGACAGAGACACGCTTGATTTGATCGTCTTCGACTGCCGGTTTCTCAGGTGCATGAGGGTGAAGTGCACGAAAGTACTTCATGGCGGGTTGAGAATTATCTCTCGTAAGGGCTTGTGTCTAGGTTGGTCTGCAAAAGATGTGAGTCTTGTAAAGAGATGTACACGGGGGCGATGAGGGGGAAGAGAACTCTGTGAGGAAATGAGATTGGTGTTAGGATCGAGGATGTTTACACTATAATTGCACGTAGCAACCGCCAGTTCACTGGCTGTCTTTCACTGAGAATACTGCTGCTTATCTTTGTAGCACTTCACATTCAAGAGATGATCTTGTCTGAGTTTCACATCACCTCAAGGTGCTATGCCATATTTTAGGGATAAGCTCTTACAGGATGTACCACCAAATTTACAACAAGGAAAGCTAAGGAAAGTATGGAAACTTCTTAACCTTGTGATGCTCAAAGTAGTCAGTTCAATACTTATACGTCAAGCAATGAATTATTGATCTGGACTGTGGACTGTGTTCACAGGTTCAAAATAGTATACGATGCTCAAAACCTACTAAATGCTGCATGTAAGCATTGAGCTAGAGACTAATGCTTGGTATCCCCAACATGTCAGCTATAACGTATACAACAGTCACACTGGTCTCGAATCAGCTTCACCAAGTGAGATATCATCCTAGGACACAAGCTACTATTTACATGTGAAATGCCATGAGCTACGCTCAGTTGCTCGATATGATAGACAAGCTGCCCGGAAGGCCGCTATTTTCTTGGTTGAATGTATCGGTCGGTGAGCATCACTAGCGAAGGCTTCTGTGAAGTATACCAAATCATGCCTCAAGGATGGAAGGCGTCCTGCAAGAAGCCATCACCTAAGGCATGATAAACATTGCACCCACTACGAGTACTGAGTAAGACCGTCTATCCACCTACAGTGACAGGCACCTTTTCGAAGCTAGTCAGTACAAGTTACAGAAGGAACTTGATTCTATACGAGACGGCATTTATGAGTAGGTAAGATCCAGGTGCCGGTCATCAGCTCATCTACATATTAACATAGCCTCGTGGGTCCACTGCCAACTTCACAATCTCCCCAGAAATACTCCTTGAATCGTGTGACTTGAAGTTGAGATTTGCTTCCTGCTTCGATTGCTCTCTAATATACCATTCCAGCTCATGAATTTGCTGGGATCGAATATGGAACGAGGTTAGGGCCACTGAGTGCCGTCGGGAAGTGAGTCCGATTACCTAAGCACACCGCAAAGCTTCGCAAGATCATCGCAAGCCTCGGACGGCGAACTGCAAGTCCAGCCATTGGCCCTCCTCGAACTACTACCTCAAAGCTATCTCCTCCCTCGGCGTATAGCTACTACTCTGACATTGCCATCATGTCTACGGAGATGGAAGTCGACCCTCCGGTGGTGCAACAAGAGGAGGAAGAAGAAGCTCCCGCGCAGTCCAGCAACGGTAGCCACGATCCGAGAACACAGGCGGGAGCCGTCGCAGTACGCAGCATCGAGGGATGGATTGTCATCGTGACCAACATCCATGAAGAGGCCTCTGAAGAGGACGTCACGGACTTGTTCGCCGAATATGGAGAGATTAAGAACTTCAGCCTGAACCTGGACCGCCGGACCGGTTACGTCAAGGTCGGTTACTACTACTACCACTCCTGCCATACACAGCATCACCGGGGCTAGAAAGCTCTGCCAGCTGTTACCCCTGAACTTCTCTCGCTGCTTCTCATGGTATGCCAGATACTGACTCGCCTGTGGGGAAACAGGGATATGCCTTGATCGAGTACTCCACCCTCCCCGAAGCATCGGACGCCATCAAAGCCTTGAACGGCTCCAAACTACTGGACCAGACCATCTCCGTCGATTTCGCATTCGTTAGACCGCCTCCCTCGAATAAAGGAAAGGGTGGAGGACAGAGAGGCGGACGTGGCGGCGGCCGAAACCGCAGCAGGAGCCGCGAGAGGAGCCGCAGTCCTGGAGCCGATGATGCACGGGACTAAGCCCGCCGTGATGTTTTGTTCGTTAGGAGAGCGTCTTCTTTTCAATTCATCTCACAGGCTGTGGATGCGCCAGAAACTTGGCCTTTTGTTTGCTCCAGACCTCCGCCCAGCATTGGGGTTCTGCTATTTTGCGCTCGCACTACAATAAGAATCGCATTGGCCGCTTAGGGTTGTCCAGATAATTCATGCTATGAGCTGGAAGTCTGGGTTGCTGGCTCAACCAATTCGGCTCTAGGGGAGAGGGGGTGGGGAAGCAGAACAAAGCCGGCATTGTCTCCTGGGAGTTCCATACTATACTCGTCGCCTGACGGGGGTGGGAAACCTTCAAAGGAGCATGGTGCCGGCGTCATGAGGTTTCAGTGATATGGTATGTGCTACTAATGTCCCTCAACTGTTCCGCCTATCTCTTCATGGCCGTCATCTAATGTCGCAGTAGGAACATCCAGCCTGAATGACTGATGTTACAGAGCTAGATATCCCGTTCTGTCTACTAGCGCGTGTACTTAATCTTTGTGTCGGTTGAACTCACCGAATACGAGTGTCGCGTGGCCATCTCAATGCTTGTAGTACCCTTCAACCAAAATGCTTTGTTGCTCACCGTGGTGATTTGCATGACAGGCGCCCTTAACCCACGGGACCGTTGGGAAACCATGGATCCTTGTAAGCACTCTCCAAATGATTGATAAATGATCATCCGATAGATAAATGCGGGGATTGGGGGGGAGGGGGGCAGCAATTGGGATGGGGGGGTCAAGGCACCGGACAAGCGAAGCAATCAGCATGAGATTGTCGGGACTCTGGGGTTAAGTTTAGAATGGCATGCGACCAACAACAAGGAGGGCGCGTGATGCAAGACCAAGATTTGACCGTATGAGTAAAAAGAAGTGCCAACTGACTGCCAGTCTGTAGTTGAAGGTGCCGTGGAAAGAGATGGAGCTCATTCCAAGGTGGGATTAGTTAAGCCCGCCGAGACTCCTCCCTTCTCCCTTCTCCCTTCCTTCCCTCCCCCGCACAGCGCCGAAGTTAACCTTAGACTCCCGAGTCTTACTTCCCCCCATCTTTCAATCATCATCCATCATCATCATCATCATCATCATCATCATCATCATCATCACTCCGGACCAAGCCCGGTTCTTCCTTCCCTCCCCCCTCCTTCCCTCCTTCATGGCACGGACTGGGCAGCATTGAGCTGATTATGTCTCATTTGATCAGCTCCCTCAGTTGCATGCAGCCCACTCTCTCTGCATCTATCTCCCCGCGTGTCTGAAATAGCTAATTCTTAAAATCCAAAGACAATCGTCACCCCTTCTACCTGCCTTTCCACTGCTACTGTCCCTTTCCTCCCTTTGTTACCAGGCTTTCGAAACAAGCCGAACTCCAACCCCTCGGATCCGGGGTAAATCCAATTAGAACAAACAGAATTACAATCATGCAAGCATTTCTGGTCATTTTTAGATTTCTCTGTCTGCTCCTAACCCTGTTTGAGACCAATGCGCTGGCGTTGCGGTCGCAGGATGTCCTTGCGCCAGTCGTCCTGGACGCACAGATTCCGCTTGAGGAAACAAATGCATCACCGTCAGAGCAGCTCCCCCTGCCTGCCCCGGATTCACCTCCCGAGTCCACCGAGAGCATCAGCCGCACGTTGCACGACTTGCTGGATGCTCTCCATGTGATGCAAGATGCCTACTTCGAACTGTGGCAAGGCACTTGGCCGTCGAGTATCGATTGGACTGCGGCCGTGCTGGGCACCCATGTCTCTGCCACACTTGCCTCGCTGACTGCCACCACCGGCGACGTGCTGTCGACCGCTGTGTCCCTGGATGATCTTGAAGATTGGAAGCACTCGACGAAGCGCGGTCGATATGAATTGGGCTCGGAGAACCTGATCAACCACTTCTTCGACCAGACTTCCGCGTTCTATTTTGGCGAGAATGCCATCTCCCTGCGTGGTCAGGCCTTCGATGATATGCTGTGGGTAGTCCTGGGTTGGCTGGAAAACATAAAGTTTCAAGTCTTGCACTCTGATCTGCACTATGACGACCCTTTCTCGCCCAACGCAACTGCGAAGCTACGCTGGCACGGAACTCAGTTTCGATCCCCCGCGGCGCATCGAGCACGTGTGTTCTACGGCCTCGCGTCCGGGGGGTGGGATGAGTTGCTCTGTGGCGGTGGGATGATTTGGAGCCCTTACTTGACCCCCTACAAGAATGCCATCACGAACGAATTATATATTTCGGCGAGTATCGGGATGTACCTGTATTTTCCAGGTGACAAGATTCAATCCCCCTTTGTGGCGGGAATCGTTGAGGATGAGAACTGGTCAGATGGCTATCCGCATAACCCGGCCCACCTGCAAGCCGCCATTGAGGGCTATGCCTGGCTCAATTCATCTAACATGACCGGGAGCAACGGGCTCTATGGTGACGGCTTTCACATCAGTGGCTGGGAGAGCGATGACCGGCCGGGCACCCGCAAGTGCGATGTCCTCAACACAATGGTATATACCTACAACCAGGGAGTGATCCTTAGCGGGCTAAGGGGGCTCTGGCTGGCAACTGCTTTGCAGCAGTACCTGTACGATGGTCATCAATTAGTCCTGAATGTGATCAAGGCAACCGGATGGCCCGATATGGACAGTCAACAGTGGCAAGGCCTTGGACGTGGCGGTGTTCTGGAGGAAGTGTGTGACTCTTCCGGAAGTTGCTCTCAGAACAGTCACACATTCAAGGGGATTTTCTTCCATCATCTGGCGGAGTTTTGTCGGCCTATCCGGCCGCAAGAGGTACGATTCCTGGCTATTGCGAACCAGACAGATGAGGAAGGAGAGACCTGGCAGTATGTGTACGAGTGGCACCAAGCTCGCTGTCGCGCATATCGGCCGTGGATCGAGCATAATGCGAACGCGGCTCTTGTGACCCGGAACAGTGAGGGCAAGTTTGGCATGTGGTGGGGAAACCAGTCCCGCGCGTCTGGGAGCACCATCACCGATGAAAGCCCTCTGCCGCTGGGGGCGATTGACTATGAGAACTATGGAGCACGGGCTGACGGATTCGAAGGGCTGACGGGACTTCTGCGCAGCCGTGACTCGCGGAGACTCGCCGATGAGAGGTCCGACTCTGGAATCGGAACGCAGCCGTTCGGTTGGGGGCTCGCATCCGGTTGGTCACGCTCCTCAGAGGAACAGCCAGACGTAACCGAACAGGGCAAGCACGATGCCAATGATCGGGGCCGAGGACGTACTGTTGAGACGCAGTCAGGGGGCATCGCAGTGTTGCGGGCTCTATACCAATGGAAGAGCTCACCGTCTCTAGCATGACTGAGTGAGGTTCCTTAGAGTACTAGTATTCTGTATAGTTCAGCGATTATGAGTATAATGCACATACCTATATGTTAGGGGTCGTTATAGACATGGGGGAATTGGGGCCCGGTGGCAAGGCACCTGCGTCATCCGATGTTGTAGCCGTGCATGCATGCGAATTGATTCCACCAGGTTCCCAAATGAGTGTTAGACCTTGTGGAATCATGCATATACTGAGTACATTGTACATCATTCTCCATGGCAGGTTGCCAGAAGGGGAGAGGAAAGCTTTGGCTCACCGCGGCTAACCCCTTTGCCCCCCTCCCCCCCGAGTCCCCGACTATGCCGGCCCCATCTGACCGACAGAATGATATAACGTGAGATCATCCCTAGAAACAAAAAATTCACAGGAATCAGCAGACCCGAGATCTGCATAATGAACTGTTCGAATGATGTAAGCCAGGCGGGATTGAACTTTTTACTGTTTTTACAGGATGAACGAGTCGGTGTACAGTATGTACAGAGTGCTCCGTAGAGTCTCAGAATTAATTATGATGCTGACTTCGGGGGCTCCTTTCCTTTCTCGTCTCTTATTCTATGCGTCCTCTTCCTTTGTTCTAGTAGCCTGTAATGTACTGTACTTTATTCCTGCTGGAAAAAAATCTTAATCAAAAAAAAAAAAAAGAGAAGGGCGTTTATCGGTTACTCGGCAGATTCCGTAACTCCTGAGGATTTTTCTCCTTTTCTTTTTTTTTTCTTTACAGTAGTACCATTTGATTATATTACTCCATAGTTTCAATCCCTTCCTGTTGTTCCCCACTAAGACAGTATCTACGTCCTGAGTAAAGGACGACGTCGGCATTACTTCCCGATTCCCTAGTCCCTTAGGGTTGGTCTACCAGTTTCTTCTTTCGGGATTTTCTTTGATGTACTGTACACACAGAGATCCTCAGACTCAGAGCAACCCAGAGAATAGCCACAGCCGTAGGTCAGGTATCAAATGATTGGTGATGGGGGGGGGGGATCGATCCGCCACCGAGATACCGAGGTTTGCTACCTATCGTCCATACTCACAACAATGCGCAGGTACGTATATCACGTAGCAGTCTCTAATCACACCGCTGATGAAACAACGCCGATGAATCAAGATTCAGATTTCCCTGGAGTTCATGATTGAATTGATTTGGACCGACTTGATCAAGACTAGCCTGTTTTTATACAAGGCGAGCGAGCACGAACCACCCCTCCCCCTCCCCCTTCCGCCTCCCTCCCTAAAAGCCACGTTTTTTTTCTGTCTTCCGTAGATTACTAGCGGTGCTAGTATTAGTGATTTCGGAGTTGATGTTAATTTGAGAGGAAAGTCGAGGTGGGTGGGTGATTATCGGGCTCAGCTCAGCCTTCAAAGGATTTGTTTACCCATTCTATCTTGGGATTAATTATATGCTACGTAGTGTGCCAGTGGGGTATCGGACCGTGTGCGGTAGACTCCGGATTGTTGCGACAATGTGCAGCGCGCGGTAGCTTATTATACTGTGGGTAGTTATGGGCTGTGTTTCTTCTATACTGTATTCTCGACTAGGTGGGAACTTCGTATAGGCTCATGGGTGGAAGGAGGTAAAAAATATCGCGAGTACAGTACGTATTGGGTGCTGCTCAGCAGTACGGTACCACAAGCGCATAGGTACTATGTACAGTATATCGGATCCTCGTCTTCAACAGCATGACTCTCTATTCCAGGGCGAGCTGACTGGTCCCAGGGGGGCTTGAGGATCGGAGACGGTGGGGACAGGAGGGAACGGGGGGAGGGGGTTCTAATTTCCTTCTGGAAGGGGGGAGAGGGGAGGGTCGATTCTGATGACCCTGTACAGCAGGACTGTACATCAGTCTAGCCAATGCTACTACGGCGTAGGTTACTAGAGGATTGGAGGATTTGGGGAATGATACCCCTGGGTGCTAGGAGCAGGAGTGAACTTATGAGTACCTCAGGTTTATTTGTTCATGCTCCTTCCATGATACGTAACTGGTTGATGTTTGAGCTATAGATGCTATAGATGCATAATGATTGATGAATATCTATAGATACTGTGATAGTGATACTTTTTTTCCCCCTGAAGGGACGGATTTACTTGCGATATATCTAATTTTATATCTTCATAACTTGAAAATTGATATACATGTAGAGCATGGAAATATGCATGAATAGTTCTGAGCCTTGGTTGGGAGGTATAACTCCGAACCTCCGAATGTTTACCATACTCCTATGTAGCTATATTGATTGGACCAAGGGTCTCCCAATATACAGAGTGCAGTGCCCTGGATTTTATATACCCTTAGAACAACTGCCAGTGTGGTCGAGCTACGAATCAGGAACTCCTCAAAAAATGGGTTACTTCTCAAATTTCTTTCTTTCTTGCTGGTTCTCCATCTTGCAGTTTGGGCTGAAAGCCACCATGCAGGTTTTCGGAAGGGAGGAGGGGAGGAAATCGCATTGGATTTGTTGTTAGTCCGAGTGGATATGTGAAAAGTGGTTTAGCTTTAGTTTTGATTTTTTTTTTTTCACATGTTGAACCCCCGGTCTCTGGCAAATCAAAGTTCGAGGAAGGAGAAATACTGAGTTCGGAACTGGGGACCATTTTTTGACACCGTGACTGATTGATTGATAGATTTGATTAAATGAGGGGTGGTGCCTGAGCTTGGATTTCTTTTTTTTGGTTGTTTTCCTTGTTGCTGCTGCTGCTGCCAAGTGGGCTAGCTAGTTGGTTTGTAGATGCACCTCCGATAGATAGACGGGCAAGGTGTGTGTGTGGACAGTGAGAACGGTGTGAACGGGTTATGAACTGGGAAATGCTGCATATCTGCCAGGGAAAAATATCCCCCAAGCTCCAGATGGGTGGGTGCTACTGCTGGGCGGTGGTTGGTACCTGGCTAGTATCGTAGTAGTATCTATCACCAACTTCTTGACTAGTTTACCTGATTTTTGCTTGGTGAGTTGGTATGTGCTTACTGTACCTGAGAACCAGTAACCAACCTAAGACACGGTCAGGGCGTAGTAGCCTACCAGGCAATAACAATAGCCAAGAAGTGTATACGTACCACGACCTGACTCCATTTGGCATGCTAACGGTAGAGCAGGGGGGGTGGAAATTCAAAATAAAGGAGGGGAGCAGCCGAGGTGGTGGATAGTGGATAGTGGATAGCTTGATGGGAGGGGGGTTCCAGTCACTAGGTGATGGATACGGAGGGACGATTGATCCTTTTCTTCCACAGCCCAGTAGTGTTAGTTGCCCCTCCTTCTGAACCGACTGCGATGACTGACAGACAGTCAGTGATAAATGATGACAGTGGCTCCGAAATTGGCCTTCTTTCTCCGCCTCGTGTATGTAAGTCTGAGGAGAACGGCTGCTGTGTGAAAATCCAAATGAGGAGGCGGCAACAGTTATGCGCCGATCAGGATTATCGATAGGGGAGACCATCCAATATCAAGTGACATTTGATCATGACTTGCTGAGACCGTCAGCACCAAAAGATGGCCTATCTTAGTCATCGTCGAGGTTGAGCGAAAGAAAGGAAAGGCTTGCTCGCACTTGGCGGTAATAGCGGAGAATCGCAGTTCAGCCACTACCCGATCGCAGATCGGCGGTTCTGTTCTTTATCGTCACTCGCCCAGGGAGTGTAGGAAACGAGGGCAGCATCGTGGACAGGCACTTTAGCTTGCTTGTCATCACGGTCAGCGCGACCAGGGGGGGGTTGTGATGTGAGGTTCGTTCGCTGTCGGGTGATTTCATCGCTGTTTCAACTGGCGATGGGACATGTGTACCCTGGTACTCGCCTGGTACTTACCATTTGACCTGAAGTGCTGTATGATATGCTGTCCTGAAACCAACTAAGCTATCTGTCTCGACTGTTCCTGAAGCATAATGAAAGGATCTGGTGGATAGGGTGTATCAAATGCCTCATGCTGAAGTAAGGCAAGCAGCCACTCTCCTGCACTGCACTCTGTTTCTTGCGAAGGAACAGGTGCACTGTGGACAATCCATCATCTTCACCATCAACATCATCAACAACAACATCATCATCATCATCATCGGAGAAGGATGGAATGGGCTGGTGGAGCAAGCAGCAGTCACGCGGTCAGTCAGTTGTGTGTACCCTTACTTAGTACATCACGGGAACGCTGGTATGGTATGGTAAATTCGACCGGAAGAACCTCTCTGGGATCCTTCCCTTCCTTTCCAAAGTTTTGCTCTTCTCGGGATTTCCTCGCTTGTCTCGGTTTCATGTATTCCCTTTAGGTAAACGAGGCTGAACAATATGGAGAATGGCAATCAATCAATCGACTTGGTGACCTTTCTTCACAATTTGAGACAGCATTCGGATTCCATGCCTGTCGATCGTCAAATAAGCATTGTGTCTCTCCTTTGGTTCCTTAAAAGATTCAGAGACAAAGAGCAACAGTAAGACAGCCCCATCGACATTCCCCATCGCCTGATGTCGAGAAGTGGAGGAAGTAGAAGAGGTGGTACTGTACTGTATGTATGTACTTCCAGTTATACGTACTAGTTACATGACTTAACTTACTACAGCCATTCCTCTTCACTGTCAAGTCACATACCCAACCAAGTTAATCCATTATGCTATCCACTATACGCACACGCGCGCAGAGCATCGGACGACAGGTATAGTGTGGCTAAGTAGTAGTTCATTAGAATTGAGAGGGAATTGATTGTAAGCGCAATTAACAGTCCCATGATATTTTATGGCTCATGGCTCTCTCATAGTCATATTCTCGCTTCCCTCAGGGGAGGAGAGAGTGCTCCATAGTTAAGAGTAAGATGTGTGAGAGTGAGAGTAAGAGAGAGAGAGAGAGCGCGCGCGCGCAACTGCATGCAATGATGCGGGGGGTAAGGAACATCTGCCACTGGCTAGCGGCGGGCTGCTGGTCTGCTGTGTTCAATCTCAACCTCATTGATTGACCCGGGTTTACTACTACTAGTAGTAGTACTGCCAATTGCCCTTAACGAGGATCAAACTGCCAAGATCTCCTTGTCATTCGTTCCTTGGACTTTTCCCGAGTTCTACAATTTGGAATCCCTGTGAGCTTTCTCTCGTGTTAGTTATCGTTATTATCCCTCTGCGGCACCCCAGTCCGACCAGGAGTCAAGGTCGAGCTCGTGTCGTGAGAGCAGGAAACCGGATGAACAAGACTACTGTATCGAACCAAAAGGAAGACGCGTTGCTGTTCCTTCGAAAAGAGTGGACGGTGTGTATATCTAGTGTACTGTACCAGAAGACCAACCAAAGAAAATTCACCAACCCCGTGAAATAATAACAGCATTTAATGAGAAAAAAGTCAAAAAGAAAATAACAAGAAAAAGGTTCACTAAAGTAGCCGCCGGGGAACGTTCCGGGCGTCGTCCGTTGAGTTGGGGCTCATGTATGTCTGTATGTGCAACTAAACCAGTTAACTTGCTGCAGCGCCTTGCTGCAAATTTGCCACGATAGTACTAGCGGTCGAAAGGGCTGAGAGATGCGATCTGCTACATAGTACTCCGTACTCCGTAGGTGCTGAAGGATTTAAGTATTGGTAGATTATTATGATCATAAAACCAATTTCCCCTCCTCCTAAACGCCCCTCCCTCCCCTCCCGAGTCCGTACTAATATGACTCCGCCCAGTGACGTTGATCGGTTTCAGTCCTCCACCAGATAAATGGATAGGAAGGCTACTTATGTATGAGGTAGGTACAGAGTAGATGGAATGGAGTCGGTCGGAGATATTTGACAGCCTCAGCTGAAGTAAATCCTTTGTTTCTGGGATTCCCCCCTCTCCTCCCTCGCGTACTTTGGCCCAGTTCTTCCTGAATCGGAGCCAGTAGGAATGAAAAGAAAGAAAAACAAAAGTACCATCAGGCCCAACCGAAAGAACTGTTCAATTTGTGATTTAGAGAGGGCGAAAAAAAAAAAGGTCGTGACAAGAGACAGGTCCAATAAGAAGACTTCCCATGACGTGCTCACCCGTCATCACTGGGCGGCGATACTTCTCATTCATTCTGGGTTTCTCCCGAGCATTGAACCACGGTGGCCGACGGTCAGCGCCGCAAGGGCCAAAAAGGGGACAAGGTGAGAAGCGATTGGAAAAAGACATGTGCGCGCAACAGAAGGGAGTTGTTCAGCGTTGAATTTTTCTCTTGAGACGTTTCCCATGGTCGGGCGTGGAGTGCTATCAATGTTAGAATCCCATTAATATGGGTCACGTACTGTGCAACCGCTGAGAAAGGCTCTTTCGTCCAGTCTACTGTATCTACCCATGTGCATAGCACAGACAAGGAAAATCAACTTCGTGATGACCGTTGTTGGAATTCTTGTTTCAAACAACATCCACCCTAATAAATCCAGGGCAGCAGTCGATGTGCTGTATCTTCCTATCTATCGATCCTATCCACTGCATATGTACTAACTCACTATCTTACCCCATACTTCTCAGGGGGATCACAATTCACAACTAATTAGGGGACCAGTTTCGTCACTTTAGCAACGCTGTGATTCGATCCCCCCCCGAAGAGACACATGTTCCCGGGTGGTTCTTGGATCGGCGGCTTGCACATCCTTGCCCAATTTTCAACGCTGCCTCCTCACTCGTTGGCTGTTCCCGGCCATGATCCGTCAGAAGATGTCGAACCCGCGGGAATGGATCGTCCTGCCCCAGCCGTTGATGCTGCTGGTGGAGTTTAAGCTAGAAGGGAGTAAATTCCGCCGCCAAACGATCACTGGCAGTTTGGGATTTTTCTGTATATCAAGGGTGTGTGTCTTTTCGCTCTGTGTGGATAGTAACTATCGTGTACTGTGTAGATCACATAGGGTGTGGTATTGTATTGAGTACTCCGTGCTAATCTGAGACTTGACCAGCTGGTGGAATCGCGGTTTCCGACCCAACTGGACACCCTACTAGGAAGACAATGGATTGTTGCACCGAAGGGCGCAGCTTGATTGCCATCGCTAGCTCCATCGTCGTCGAAGCAGAAATAGTAACAGCTTCGTTGCTGAAATCAGTCACGGACTGATTGACATTGCTGGGTGATTTCCCACTCATCTACCCATCTACCTACATCCAGTATCCCGGCGGGGGGGCCGTAGGGCATGGGACTAGGGTACTTTTTAGGTCCTAAGTATGGCCCTGAGGATCCCCATTTCTACCAGGTTGTGTCTCGCTGGGGACCAAACCAAGAAGCCACAATCTGATGGGCTCGATCGACATTGCATGACCTCCCCTGAAGGACTTCAGTAACGAAAAAGACGTTTTGGACTAGGACCGACTGACTACCGTTGACTACAAACAACTGTTGCCCCATAGTTAGAGGGGATTAGCCACCTACGGTAGGCTGGCTCTGCCCTGCGTGGCTTAATGATCCGCCGCCGCCTCGGCAGTCGAGCAGGGGGAGACGCGCGCGAGCGCGCCTGCTCTGACTCGCTGAACATTGGGGGGGGGGGGGGGGGGGGGGGGCCCCCGTGGGTGGGGGGAGGAGGGGGGGGGGGGGGGGGGGGGGAAGGATACTCGCTTAGTAGATGTAGCACGGAGGATTGCTATGACCCCGACGATTCAGTACGTACTGTAGAATGATGATTGTGGTTCATGGTTTTTGTTTTTGTGTCGTCAATCATGCCGATTGTGATCAGTGAACTCGTGGCGACGGAACAACTGGAGCCAAAGGGGGCGGCGGCTGTCCGTGAACGGGCACGACGACAAAGGAGAAATAAAATGTCACGCTTCGACATCATTCATCGCCATCGGTCATCATCGTCCATATTAAAGCCATCCTCATGGTGCCCGTTCTCCGCCTTCCTCGGCACCGGCACACACAGACAACAGTTTTGAGTGTGGTGTGGCACTGGGAAAAGGTGTGGGAAGCGGTGGGAAACAGATGAGGATCATCGCCATTCCTCCGATGGACCACAACTTTCTTCTCGTTGGGCGGGTTGGCTTTTTTTTGCCCCCCTTTAGGGGGATTTGGGTTCGCTGCTAAGGAGAAAGAGTCGTCGAACCAAGGGGCTTGAAATCCTGGGCCTGAAAGTCACTAACCGAACTAGAGGCACCGAATGAACCCCTAAAGAGCCGTAGAAAACCTGTAAGTAGTGGTTCCCCCTCCCCTCTTCCGCCCGCCCACCAACCACAGGAAGGCAGGCCGAACGGAGCTCCTTCACCGAAACATTCAACAGTCAGTGCTCTGCTGCTTGCTGTTGCTGTTGCTGCTGCTGTGTTGTTGGGAGGAGGGGGGGAAATGGGAAAAATCAAGAAAAAAGGAAGAAAGAAAGAAAGGAAGAAAGAAAGAAAGAAAGAAAAAGAAACGACTGAAGTTCACATCATCGTCATCATCATCTTGAATGATTAGCGCGTAGGAAGATTTTCTTTTCTTGTCGATAGGGTACCTTACTTGACCAAACTGCCGGTTGAGCTGCTTGCTCTGTATAATATTGTATATTATTTCCCCTTTTAATTTTTTTGGAGGATGTTTATCTAATATTTTCCTTCTCTTTTGGTCATATCTCAATCTCTTTTCTGAATATTCCCGTACCCAGGAATACGGCGAATATCATTCCAGTGGCGGCCACGAGTCTTCCCACCTTTAGTGCGCTGGCACTAGTCCCGAAAATGGACAAGTAGCATCCACCGGGGTACCACTCCGTACTCTGTTTGTACCTCCCATACCGAATTTGGCACTGTTTTCTGCCCAAAAGTACACCAAATATGTACTAGATGGATTATGTGACTTACTCACTTGCTCCATCGCATACGTAGGTAGTGTGGTCTCTACTGGGCTGTGTCCGTCCTCTACTGTATGTACTGTACTTGCTCTATCTTCAGCTTTGCTCTTTCTCTTTCTTGTTGTTTCTGTTTTCTTTTTGTGTCAGGGCGTTTTTCGCCTCTTTATTTATAAATCAGATCCGAGGTTAACTATATGGTACGCTATACATAGTTTGATGACGAGGAAATAGTATGCGCTCTAGGGAAAGTGAGTAAGCGGCTTTGGTCATCGGAAGTATTCCTCTTGAGTAAAAGTGGACAAGTATAGTATCCCGCGTGTAGTTGGCAGGTCATCGCAGGATTATCTCCTCTCACATCCTTTCCTCTCCCTCCCCTCCCACCCCCTCCTCCTCCTCCTTCTTTCCTTTCCCAATTGGTACAAATTTGGTAATATTAGTCTCCATCTGGTTTATTACCGAGTCATTAACCGGCTTTTTTTTTTCTTTCTGGTATCATTCATTACTGTACTTCCCTTACTAACTTAACTTGATTCTGGTGACTACGGCCGAATGAAATTATATGAGCAAAAGTATCTGTCCCTGGGTCAATTGATTATCACTTACCATTCTCTCCCATTCCCATTACTACCGCCATTATTATTTCCCACTCACCTCGACACCCGCGCTCTGCCCGCCAAACATCCACTGGAACCATCATTATTATTGCGACGAACTCTTCCTACAGCGACTCTCGCAGCAGCCTCGTCCAGTGTCCCCAATTTTTTTTAAGACTATTACTCCTCTTGCTCCTCCTCCTCCACTATTACTACCAACCAACACAGAGACAGAGCTCTTCTTGTTCTCTCTCCTCCCCTTCCCTTTTCTCTTTCTTCTCTTCCCTCTCTCTCTCTCTCCCCTCTCTTCTTCTTTTCTCCTCTTTCCCCCCTCTTCCTTTTTCCCTCGCACACCCATCCATTCTTCCTCCCTCCCCTTTTCGATCGAACGGAATTGCGACGGTGACAAACTTCCGTTCCTTAACGGCTTCAACCACACTACCACCAACCCGCTTCGACCACCAATTCTACCTCTCCACCCATTTCCACTGACCACATTTAACCCCCCGGTCCAAGATTTTAGTCCGCCCGTTTTCGGACTGCCCAACGAACCTTCTCCCACTCAAGTTCGACGACCGCGAATAAATCTAATTCCCTAATTCAAATAGACCCTTCGCCCGAAAAAGGAACATTGGCAATAGCAATTATTCTCCAGGGACACATAACCTGCGTTGTTGAATTGCTTTGCTATTGTTGAATTCTTCTTCTACTTCTTCTATTACTACCACCGACCTACCCAGCAACTGTATCGGCTATCTTTCTAAGTTCGCTTAACCGATACGTCTGTCCTTTCGGTCACTCCCTTTTTTGACCCTCACTATTTTGGGAGGCCCTCCCCTTTTTCCCCCCCCCCCCCCCCTGCGCTTCAATTCTCCTGTTACAAATCAGCCAGAGTCTATACGATTCCAGTTAGGGTTTTATTCTAATCGATCCCCTGAACTCGCCGCCCTTCTCAGACGTGGTGAACCCGGATCTCGTTACAGCTGATTGTCTGCTTTCGTTGTCCCGGATTGCTTTTTCCGGCTAAATCCTCGTCTGCCGGCCTGGGAAACACCCCCCGTTTGCTTCAACGACAGCTACCTCCAGCGAAACGCAGATCTTTCAAATCTGAGGTCATCGCTAGAGGTAGTCACGGCCTACTGTGAAAATAGAAGGAATCCGATTGTTGACCATATCCTGTTGTGGGATTTCTACCGAACCTTGAACGACCGGGAAACCTGGAAACCCGCCACAGCGACCGCCCGAGAGTTGCTCTGATTGCATTGCTCAAGCCACCCTCAACCACCGGAATTCTTAAATCCAACCACCGGCGCCACCGCCAGCACGCACAAACCATGGCGTCGACGTCAGACATGCACGGTTCCTCGCCTGTCCCAACCCTGCCACATCCCCACGACAACGGTCGCTCGCATATGTCCTCACTCTCCTCATCCTCATCCATCTCTGACGTCGAAACCGAACGAAGAGGACGATCCGAACGCCCTCGCATGGCCAGTCGAAAACCGAGTGCGTCCATCCTTGTACCACGAGATCACCCCGAAATCGAGATTGAAGAAGAAGAATTCCCCCCCGACGACGCGCGCGCCATGAGTCCCCGCCGAAATTCCGCAGATCTGGAGCGACTGGGCAAGGAGGCCAGGCAAACATTACAGGAGTGAGTTTTGGGCACCATCCATCAATGTATCCGTCACATAGCATGGGAGCGACTACGACCACGCAGAAAGGGTGGGAAAAGAAAACAAGGAAGAAGCTAATGGAATCTCGCAATCTACGAACAGGCAAGCCAGAGCCCTTCAATCCTCACTTCAAGCGCTAGCAGAACGCATCGAAGCCGTGAAATCCGATCATGATAAGCTGGAGAGCGAGAACAAGTTCCTCCAAGATTATATTGGTGGATTGACCCGAAACATGACCAAGACGGAAATGGGACGGACGAGCACCAAAGTCAGAAAGGCGCAGAAATAACCACAAGATCCCTGTTATCGACCCTGGCTGTTTGGGACGGGTAACGGTCGGGGCCTGGTTGCTGCCACGAGACGGATGGCGAGCGCTCGTTCAAAGCCACGAAATTTCACACCTGCCATGCGATGACCCCCTTTTTCTCCTTATTTCTCGCCATCACCGCCGATAAATTCTTGGTTTCTGTTGAGCCACATTCCCGACCGGTCCCTGCGTGCCTGGCATAGTCGAGAATGGTGGCTGTTGGCCCAAGCGCGCCCTCCGCAATCCGCCAGTCGATCAACTTTCACGAGCAGTCCGGCTCTTTGAACTCAGGATCTGGAATGACATCTGCGGCTTTGTCAGGTGGAACCTCGTGCTACCCAGGGCGGTCGCCATATTCGACCGAAGGCTCGCGAAACATACGTCCTTGGATCACCCGTGTTTACGAAATCGATATGACTTTCGGGGTGGCGATCACGATGACAATCTCACGACTTCGGCCGACCTAATCTGCCGTGCCACCCAGCATGTCGCCGACCCACCCGTCAATTCGCATCGCGCACGTCCCGAAGAACGATTGTGACATCATTGCATATTCTTTTTATCTGTTTCTGTGGGAGCTTTTTCGTCGATCGACACCTACAGTCTTGGCAACCATGCCAGCGCGTGATCCGTGATGGTAGCACATTTGGTTATGCTGCCTGTCAGAGCCGATGATAACCAACCCCCGGATCTGTTTACCTTCTACTGTTCATATTTTTCTTTTCTTTTCTTTTTCTTTTCCTCTTTTTTTTTTTTTCTCTTTCCATGCCTTCGTCTTATTCCTCTTCTTTTCCTACTTGTCTTATCATACCGGAGGCTTTGTGTATTGGCATAGCACGCGTGGCGTTGGGACTTTGACTGGGATTGATACTTAGACTCGCTTGTTTTTGTTTGTTTCCATCATTTCATCTCTTTTTCAAATACGGAACCGCACTGGGCGCATTTGTTCTCATGGTCTGCAAAAAGGCGGGAAAGCATTTTCACGGAGCAGCCAATATCTTCATGTGGTTTTGCATCAACATCATCAACATCCACCAACCAACACTATTCTCGCCAAGTCACAAATCACCATCCATCGTGGGTCCACGTCATCCGACCTCACACCGTTCTCCTCCGCCTCCTCCGCCTCCTCCACATTAACCTCGAACAACCTTGCCACCGCTCTCAACGCCTTCCCCCCTTTATACTCGTGTACATTGGAATCGTCCCGGTCTGACGATTCGGAAATTGCGGCTTTTCTTTTTGTTTGATTGTTCTCATTTGGCACTGAAGACATTTGCTTACCATACCCAGAAGCGAGCGGTTGTTGATACATTTGGAATGAAAAAGAAATTCGATACATGGGTGTTTCGCGTAGCTGTAGTATCTGTCCGATGTGGGGATTGCGCATCGAGCTGAAAATACATACCAGATTGTCATTGTCTCAGAAGGCGTGGGTTAGTTAGTACATACCTTACGGAGATCAGTTTGCTAGAGAACGGAAGTTGCTATAGGGATGAAACATCAACATGAGACCTCCCGTCGTCACTTTCTGGAAGGGTCTTCATCAACCCCAACCCCAGTGGCATCACTCTGCATATCGATGACCCCACGTACATACAGTACATACAGTACATACATCAAGGACATGGTGTATCTGCGGAGTCACATCTTTTGGGTTCCCTGTGCCCTGTGCCCTGTGCCCTTGTCCTTTGCCCCCGTACGTGGTTCCTCCCCGATAGCCGATTAACCGACTGGGAGAGGATGAGTAACGAATGACTGCCGGATCACCAAGCATTGAGTCACATACCCCTTCCATCTAGTAACGTTAGTGTATGCTCGTGCGCTTTCCTATTGTCGTAATCGATGGATCCGGAGGTACTCTCACTTTGGTCTTTGACTAGCTCGACTAGAGGGTGGGAAGGAAAACGTCATTCGATCAGCAATTTGACGTTGACGTACTGTATGTACACCTTCCTCTCGATCCAACTACAGTACTGTACTGTACATAATAATACCTCCAGTCTGTGAGCAGCAAAGCGTGCGAGTGGACTGTAAGTATGACAGCAGCAGCACAACCAAACACTGCAAATCATTTACGTCTCCAAAGAGGCAGCTGAATCCCCCAATACCCTTGACGATGTATGGTAGGCAGACTGCATCGAGCACAGTCTAACTTACATGCCCATCACACCCCGGGTCCCAAACCCAACTGTCATCAATGTTCAGCCTGCGTACTACAGAATTAGAGGTAGTGGTGCTATATAGCATGCTATAGCCAGAGAAATCGTCCAAGGAAAAATCACACCGTGAAATTTTGGTCTTTTTTTTTTTTTTTTTTTTTTTTTTTAAACAAAACCCCCTTTCAACAAAAGAAGAAGAATTAAATTAAAGATCTTCCCGTAAATCTGCAAGCCGCGTACGTCATCCATAACCCTTCCCGTCTGCGTTTTGTTGGTTGAAGTTGCCGCTCGCCGCCCGTTGCGTTTGGGGGGAAAGGGGGGGGGGGGAGGGAAGGAGGAACCGGGGCTGGGGGCTGGGGGCTGGGACTGAGGCTGAGGCTGAGGCTGAGGCTGAAACGCCCGGGGGAAGGGGGGGCTGTATGTGTATCCTCCTCGTCTTTATCGTATACAGTACTTGGAGGAGTCTACACAAAGGGTGAAGTTAGGCAGGTGGTTTGATCACCTTGATTTTTGGGGCGTCAAGCAAAGCTTCTACAGTACCCTCCCTACCTTACAGTACAGTACCTCGTGCCTTAGCTGTTTGGGGGTTATTTCTCTCCCTTTGCTGGAATTGTTGATTGGATGTGGCGATTCGTTATTCTTCTCGGGTAGTAAACATGCTGAAAATATTAAGAGTTTGAGAAAGACCCCCCTTTGCCACGGATGATTCAACAAGAAAAGTAAATGCTGGAAGAAAAGAGAATATGATGTACCAAGTACAGGGTATATGTAGGAGAAGCGGGGGGAGAGTTTTGGATGGAAGTCGTCCCGGCACAAGCTAACGGACGGAGTGGAGGATGGGCAGGGATATGAGTGGACTGGTTGGTGTGCATTATACAGTCAGTCTTCATGATAGTGTGAGAAACAGGAACTTCGAAATCATGTCCGGCTGCTCCTGTGGTGCTCGGTACAGCGTATTCTGTGCTCCATCACTACACAAAGCAATCCTACTCATACAAGTACTGTACAAGGTTGGCAAGGAAGGCTGCGAGAGGATTTACCGGTAGATAGGGTTTTTGGGGTCTAGTCTGTATACTTGAGGGAGTTATATGGCGGATTTTGTGTCTAATTGAATAAGACGACCAGATAAGTGAGACCGCGTGCAGAGTACCCAGTCAAATGTGCGTGGCTAATAAGATTTGTTCCTATACAATCTCCGATAATGGTACATCATGTACTGTACATGCATTCCCAGGTGAACAATTGCCATGTCAGTACTTTACCTGCAAAACTGGTCTCTGTCCCTCTTTTATTGAGCTAAGAAAGAAGAAAGAGAACTCGATCGATCTACCGTATCCCTGCTCAGTGGTAAGTGTCGGTCAGATGAGGACCAACCACCAGTTGTTTCAATCAGAAGATGCAGAAACTCATTTCACCAAGGACGAGTGCATATGGTATAGTATAGTATAGTATAGTGTTGTGCCGGGGTGTGATGTACGGTACTCGCCTTCCCACTTTTATTGAGAACAACTGGGGTTAATTGCACCTCCTGTTCCAATCGTAGACCCATCATGCCCTGCCCGTGTATCTCTGCCCAGATCCTTGCCCAGATTAGCGTACATGTAATATGCTTACACCTATGCTTATTTCTCTATCTGCCACCCGCGTTCCTGACTATAGCTCGCCCACCCGGAAGTCACGAATTGCAAGCTTGTTTCTTGAAGCCTGTCGGCTGGAAATGAAATCTAATAAAACGCAGCTAAGGCGCACGATCAAACGCCATACGGGAGACAAATATAACCAACCATGGCAAGCGCCATGATTGCGAAGGTATTCCGAGGTCAATGCCCACGCGAGAGGGTCGTTCTTGACAATTGTGTTTGTTGTTGTATGAGGGTGGGTAGGTAACAAGAGAGAGGTATTCTTTCCAGGGGGGAATTGCGGCAATAGGCAAGGAAGTAGAAAAAAAAGATAAAGAAATCAACGAGAAAATGTAAAGGAAAAAATAGAACAGGAATCGAAGATCCACAGGTGAACCCGGAGGGGAAAACATGGGCAATGTGGTGGGTGGCAGAGCATAGCAAGGATCGCATGAACGGAAAGCGGAAAGCAAAGGCACAGAACACCCCCACAGCGCAGACCAGCTTTTTGACTTCTGCCCTTTGCCAGTGACAGTTCAAGACCATGCAAAGTCATCGGGCATAATGACAAGCGTGCAGCGCCGATCCCCTTTTCTAATTTTGCCCCCGCAGCCCTTGCGCACCCGTAACCCACGCCGTATGTTGTCCGAGTTCATCTGCAAACCCGGACGCGAGTCCATCGTTATCTCTACTAATTTACTCGGCAGCGGGCTTCTCCTCGGCAGGAGCAGCCTCCTCCTTGTCGGCAGGAGCGCTGGACTCAGGAGCAGCCGTCTCGGCCTCCGACGAGGTCCAGAGCGTCTAGATGTGCGTTAGCACGGGCATGTCAATCCGGCTGTAGCCGTATACGTACCAAGTTGTCTCTGAGAAGCTGCATGATCAGGGTGGAGTCCTTGTAGCTCTCCTCGCTCAAGGTGTCAAGCTCTGCGGGGATTTGTCAGTCTTTGCCATGCTCGCACGAGGCCTTTAGATAAACATACCGGCAATAGCATCATCGAAGGCAAGCTTGGCCAGGTGGCAGGCCTGGTCAGGAGAGTTGAGGATCTCGTAGTAGAAGACGGAGAAGTTCAGGGCGAGACCGAGACGGATGGGGTGAGTAGGAGCCAAGTCGGTTTGAGCGACCTCAGTAGCGTTCTTGTAGGCCTCGAGGGAGGCATCGGCAGCGCCCTTGCGGCGGTCGCCAATGGCGAACTCAGCAAGGTAACGGTGGTAGTCACCCTTCCTGTGAAGATCACCCGTCCAGGTCAGTAATGCAGCCTTCAAACGGTACTTAAGAGACAGACGCACATCTTGTGGTAGAAGACCTTGGACTCGCCGCTCTGGGCAGAGGGAATCAAGTGCTGGTCGAGAACCTCAAGGATGTCATCGCAAATCTTGGCGAGCTCGGTCTCGATCTTCTGGCGGTACTCCTTGATAAGGGTAACCTGGGGACCGTTGCCCTTGGACTCCTCTTTTTGCTCGATGGAGGTGACGATTCTCCAGGACGCACGACGGGCACCAATGACGTTCTTGTAGGCGACAGAGAGGAGATTGCGCTCCTCGACGGTGAGCTCTACATCAGTGGAGGCAACCTCCTTCATGTTCTCGACCATCTCTGCGAGAAAAAGGTGAGCATGAGGGCGGTCGTGCGAGCGCGGGGTGGAGCGTTCAGGGATGACGTACCTTCGTAGCGCTCAGCCTGCTCGGCGAGCTTGGCCAGGTAAACAGCATCTTCGCGAGCCATTGTGAAAGTGGATTATCTGTGTGAAACAGAAGATGAAAATGTTAGTCAAATAATAAACAGTCCCCTGGCGGGAAGTCGATGTGATGACAAAAATGTTATTGATGGAGGGAAGAAGGATGATGGGGGGATGCGCCACAGCGATCAACGGAAGACGATAGATAGTGTCTCCGAAGCGAGGGGCAGCCAGTCACAGGGCAAAAGTGAGGCTGTGAAGTCAAGTGGTGCAAGGAACACGAAAAGCGATAACCGCCCTCCCCTCCCCTCCTTTTCCCGGCTTCCTGGAACCGTTCCCCGTGATAGGGAATAGATTGGCCATCCGTCGCAGCAAGCACGTAAAATGGTCGGGAGCGAGGATTATGGAGGTGGGAACAAGCAAGCATGATCATTCCTCCGATCCTGTCCGCTGTACTCTTCGCCCCCCTACCACGCACCCACATCCATCCAACCATCAGCAGGACGTACGGCGACGACCCCAGAGGCTTGTTGACGATTGGGAAAGTATATATATTTGTCCTGCCAGGCCTCCGTTCGGCTAGCCGATGACAAAAGTGCTGTGTCGCGTTCCAGTGTAGTTGAGACGGAGAGGGGAGAGCGACGACTGCATGTAGTTCCAGCCATTTCACGCGCGAGCTGACTAGGGTCCCATTTCCAGTGTTCCAGAACCTTTCAATACCACAAGTCTTGATCATTTGCGATCGTGAACGCCGCCGGAAATGACGGAGCGGTTGGATCACCCGGGACTAGGAGGGGGAGTTTGAGAGGGGGGAGGGGGTTTTGGTGGTAGGAGTGGAAAAGATGACGGCAGTGGAACAGAGAGAGAACCAACTCACCTGAACGGAAGATGAAGAGGGATTGTAGGTGCTCTGTTGTCTGCAAAGTCAGTGGTGTTGTTGTAGAGTGAGATAGGCGCGAGTGAAAGATTATAGAGCAGGGAAATTTTTTTTATTCCTTGCTGTACTGCTCGTTTGGGATGTTTTTCTGTTTCGAAATTTGAGGATTGGGGGAGGGGGAGAGGCCAAGTTGGATCACTAAGCGGGCAGGGGGGAAATGGTAGGTTTGGGTGATGAGGGAGGGGAAATTAGGGAGAAATCAAGAGAATTGACTGCTGACTGACCGGATTGGAGAGGAGACGAAGAAGTGAGATAGGTTGGAAGGAGTTAGTCAGAAGAGGAGAGAGAGAGAAAGAGAGAGAGAGGTTTAGAGTGGTGGTGGTGGTGGTGGTGGTAGTGGTAGTGGTAGTAGTAGTAGTAAGTTGGAGGAAGTAAGATGGGAGAGGTTTAGTAGTAGTTTGTTGGCGGGTACTGGCTTAGTGTCGGGGGGAGGGGAGGGGAATGAGAAGGGAAGAAGAGAGGGAGGGAGAAGGGAAGGGGGGTCTGTTTGGTCCAGGTGGGAAATAGGCAATTAATGGCGGCCGGAAGGAGAGGGGAACGGAGGCGTAAGAGCCAGACTGAACAGACACCGACAGATAGACAGACAGACAGACAGACAGACACAGACAGACAAAAGAAAGTCAAGTCACTCGCTCAGTCACGCACTCATTTACTCATTTACTCATTTACTCACCTCTATCACTACTCCTATCCCTCCCTTTCTCATTCTGTGGCCAGGAAATCTCCCCCCCCCCCCAAAGCCTAGACAAGTATTCCCGTACATCGCATCATTATTGTCATCATCGTCATGATCCTCAGCCTCTTCAGCCTGACTGGTAACTTTACTCAAGGAATTCATGCACGCCTCTTACTCCTTTTTACATCCGCACCTAAAAAACGAACCATTCAGCCACTCTTCCCCCCTACAGTTGCGACAATGGATATCGCACGGTTAGGCTAGAGTCTAGATAGGAGGTGGATGATGGTGTATCCATTTTGAACCCCCTTCCCCTCATTATTACCCAGACAAAAAAAAATCCAAAATGGAGAAATACACCGCAATATTACCGCTATGGGTTCTGCGGGCCGGGATATTATTGCTGTCATTACAGTACTACTGCCAATAATAAGATCTTCTCCCCTTCTGGTGGAATTCTAGAATTGATTTGCTGGGGATTGCGCAGGGTTTGGGAGAGTAGGCCAGCGTGAAAGCAGAATAGAGACGGACAGAAGCAGACAGAAGCTCTCTGTTGCTAGTCGGTTGGCGCCTACGTAGTGCATGCACATCAAGCCCAATGCACTGGGTGAAGGTGCATACAGCAGAATGGGATCATGACGCCCATTGAACAAAGGTCCAGACTGGGACAGAATTAAGAAGAATCCTCAGAATTCTCCCAGACTACTCCGTTCAGAGCATCTCCCAAGCGTCTGCACAAAATCGCATGGGATACGATACGTCTCTCCTGAGTTGAGTCCTGAATCCTCAATGGCGTGGGTGATTGCCTGCCTGCCAATCTGGCTGGTTTAGGTCGGTCGCTTGAGTGGTTCGGTGGGCCTCTCATCGTCATCCCTATTTCACTTCCGCCAATTGTCCAGCCCACTCTTTCACCTCCCCAGTTAAGGCCATCACGAAGGGGGCCGACGATACACATAACAATTCATGAAGCGGGTACCGAAAAAAAGAAAACAATAGGGGGGGGAAAGGGTGAAGATGGAGGAGCACCCAGGTAGCAGAGCAGCAATCTGTGACCGATGTGTTGGAAATATTGATTGATCTGGGCTCAAGGGGGTCTGCGTTTCTCTTTTTCTGGAACCTCGGGGAATAATAGTACTGATGGACCCGACTATTGGAGGGAAGCTATCCCATCTTTCATCCTATTAATATCCCTCAGGGATCGCTGGCAATGGCAGGTCGGCGGCTCCTTGTCAAGCTTATCATCACTGTTGGCCCATTGCCTGTTGACAGGGAGTCGAAGGTAGCACATGATTGGTATTTAAGCCAAGAGTCCGTGTAGACGTGAATCTGTAAATTTGGCGTGGAGATACCATAAAGGGGGAGGTGGGCAAGGAGCCCTGAGATGGCGACAATCTTCATTCAACATTCTCAGCCACAACCAACACCACCGCAACAACAACAGCAGCACACTGCAGTCATGACGCGGGACCCGTTAGAGCTTGCAGGCGGCAGCTCACCTGACCACCAGCAACACAAGTTGCCGGCCCCGACCTGACGATGGCTGAGTCACCCGCTCTGGGTTGAACCCGCCGGCGGCATCGGACCATCTCCCCATCCGGGGCCGACGCATCACATGATCGGCCAGTGCCGTGCCAACCACTTCCCATTCAATGTCGTCATTGGTCTTGACAGCCGTGGGAAGTTAGGTAATCCAGCACGAAAGTACCACCAGCCCAAAGTACTACAAGTACCTGAACAGAGCTCGCCTCACGCTGCATCGTCCTATGTACCTTGTCTTGTCACTGTCACTATCACCATCTGACACATCCTCTTCCAACCGATAACTCCCACCTTTCACCTCCTCCTCACTCCTCACATCCCAACCACTTCCCGCTCAACCTACCTACTCAACACCATGCTCCGCCAATCCATCACCAAGCCTCTCACCAGCACTGTTATCAGCCGCTCCTTCTCTGCTCTTGCCCCCAGAATGGCTGCAGGTGATACCGGTGCTCCCCGCGCTGGCGGTGTTCAGTCAAGGTACGTTCAAGGCCAATCCCATCTCATCCACCGCAAGCATCCCAATCCTCTTTACAACACTGCTCACAGATGACATCATCATCATCATCATCTTTCTCCTCCCCCCCCCCCCCCCCCCAACACCAATTCCAAAGCCAAGGCTAACCCGAATCCCAACCCAGCGACTCATTCCAGAAGCGTGAAGCCGCCCAGGAAGGCCGATACATCCACGAGAAGGAATTGGAGAAGTACGTCCATCAATCAGCCAACCCATTTCGTTCTCAACCCACACTTCTTTAACCCGAATACTAACCTCGACCTTCCAAACAGGTTCCAGAAGCTCAAAGCGAGCATCAAGGCTCAGCGTGAACACCTTGACAAGCTCGACAAGCACATGTAAGGGCTTCTTCCATTCCGCTCCGACAAGAAATCTCGTCAAAAACAAACCTTGACTAACCTCGATTGTTCACTTCATAGCGACGAGATCACCAAGGAGCAGGGCGGCGAGCAGAACTAGAATTTACGTTCACACTACTCCCCAATACCCAACATCCTCTATATCTTTCGAAGGTGACCTGTCAGCTGGGTCTACTACATAAGCCTCGTGTTTCCTCATTTTGTTTCTTCGCGCCTATTATATCCCCGCGAACGTGTCACCCCCCCTCTCTGTCTGTCCTTGCTTCGTAACCGGAGCGATATTTGATGAATATGACTTGTATGTTGATGTGATCGTCATGCTTTTTGATATTAGCATACGGTGCAGCTAGGTAGTCTATGCTGAGACGTCAATTATACGGAAGCATTCGATTCTTCGCTGTGTTCTATGTGTAAATCTATCATGATTATACCTACGGTCCCACGGTTCCGTTCAAGAACGCATGGATTATCCACTCGATTGACTTCTACATATACCGCCGTACAAGGCATACGAAGTGGCTTCTAGGTAGAATGATACTTTATTATTCTTCATTATCCATCCCATCCCATGACAAATCCGACGCAACCACAGTCTCAAGTGCAAAACGAGTACTCCGATAAAAGCATTTCTCGGTGGATACAAAACTGCAGAGTAAAAGCCTAGCGCAAACGTGAAGAAGCCCCCACCAGTATGAAATCAAAACTCCACTGCATTATGTTTAGCGCCGTCCCATGTAAGACCGATAGAAATCATCCGCTGCGCTACCGCCCATCGTCGAGTTACCCAGTCCTCCGTATCCAAATCGCGAAGACAGCGACTGACCCGCCCGCTGCGCCTTGGCGACCTTCTCGTGGAGCTCGGTGGTGCCTTGGTCAATCGTTTGAAGCTGCGCAAGGTGGGAGTTGAGAATGCGGACGATTTGAGAAATCTGTTATTTTTGTGGGTTAGTATCAGGCAAGAAGCGTTATAAAAGAGTACAGAGTGAATACGCACCGGCTCATCAGCCTTGCTTGTCTTGCTCAGAGTAGCAGAGGCACTGTTGACTTCTTCAATCATGCTGGTAAGATCCTTGCCCATCTCGTCAAGGCGCTCGGAAAGTCGCTCAGCAGTCTTATAACTATAGTTGTTTTTGAATCAGTGGCTGGACAAAGATGGACTGAAGAAGGCAACTTACGTTCGCTCACGCTCTTGATCCGGTCCTTGGAGAGATTCACCAGGATTGAGCTGCTTGGACATCATCTCATCGACCTCACGCTCGTACCGGTCGAGCCATGAGCTCAGTTCGTCCTGCTGTCCCTCGACGGAGGCGAGCTGGCGTTCCACTTCTTGTGTGGCTCGTTCGGCATCCACGGTGCTACCATAAAGCTTCTGGACCTTGGTGCCATTCTCGACGAGCATGCGGTCCCATTCGGCAACTTTCTCGGCTTGTTCGCGGAAGTCCTTCTGGTACTTGGTGAGGTCGGTGGCCCAGCGAGTGATAATCTCATCCATAGTCTTGTTCTTTAGGCGGGACTGGGCGGGAGGGGTGGGGCCGGCCGTGGAGGCGCCGAGGCCGCTGGCGCCTGTTGCAGGCATGGTAGTCGACGGCGCGGGCTTGTCGGTTGCGGTAGCTGCAGGTGTGGTAGCGGGTTTAGTGGAGGGTTGGGTCGCAGCGGGCTTGTTGAACAACCCGCCGGTAGCAGGGGCAGTGGACTGGGTGGTTGTTGAGGCAGCAGTAGCTGTGGTGCTTGGGGTCGTTGTGGTTGTGCTCGTCGCGGCAGCTCCGCCAAGGTTAAACAATCCGCCGCTAGGAGCAGCTGGAGTGCTGGAAGGGGTGGCTGATGAAGTCGCTCCGCCGAGTGTAGGGAATAGTGATTTTTGAGGAGTAGAAGAGGAAGCAGCGGGTGTGGTGGAGGATGTGGTGCTGGTAGTCGGGGTACCTAGCGATGGAAAGGCAGGCTTTGTCGCATCGGCACCGCTCAGTGGCTTGAAAGCAGGGGCAGCACCTCCCGCCGGCGCGGCATTGCCAAAGAGAGATTTCGGGGCACTGTCATTGGTAGTAGTCGCGGGGATTGTTGTTGTGGATTCGGCAGGCTTGTCTTTGTTCGCGTTTCCAAAGAGACCACCGCCCGTGGTTGCCGAAGGGGTTGCGTTGAACAATGGCTTTTGGGCCGGGTTTGACCCGAAAAGACCGCCGCCAGTCGACTGCGGCTGTGTAGCGTTGGCATTACCGAACAACGAAGGAGCGGTGGGCGCCGCGGTGGTCGCCGAACTGGTGGTGCTCGTGGCAGCCGGGGTGGAATTGGCGGCGGGAGTTGGGTTCAATCCCCCAAACAGAGAGTTGGCGGGCTTTTGTGCCTGCTGAGCTCCTCCGAAGAGAGAAGGCGCTTGACCGGTAGTTGCAGGCGGGGGCCCAGCAGGCGTAGTGGACGAAGCATTTCCGAAAAGGCCTCCTCCCTGTTGCGCCGGGGTAGCTGTGGCATTGCCAAACAGAGGCTTGGAGGCGTTGTTACCAAAAAGTCCACTGGTAGCAGTCTGTCCCGAGCTGGGAGTTTCGGTTGTTTTGTTTGGGGTGGCAGAAGCGTTAGAACCGAATAAGGGCGTCGACTGGCCCGTGGCTGCTGGCTTGCTCGCAGCGCCAAAACTGAATGGGGAGGCGTTACTGTTGGCAGCAGCAGCTCCAGCATTACCGAAAAGAGGTGTAGATGAACCGCTTGTCGTAGTAGCTCCTACATTACCAAAGAGCCCACCGCCGCTGGGAGCACCAGAATTTGCGCCTCCGGCGGAACCAAAAAGACCACCCTTGGAAGCGCCGCTGGAGGCGTTGGAGTCGAAAGAGAACATACTCATGGCGACGAACCGAAAGTTGAGGGAAAGTGAGGGATATGGGTTTGACAGGGCTACCCTATAGAGACAATGAAACAAGTCAGTCTCAGACGGGGAATTGAAGGAGATGAAAAGAGTCCAAACAGACAGAGGGATACTGACTGCGCCCGGAAAAGAGGTCACGGAAGCGCCCTCTGAAAAGCAAGAAGCGCAACTGATTGAGCCGAGAGAGCGGAATCCGCGTGCTTGACAAGCAGAGACAAAATCAAGGTCAGCAGCGTGGTGGCAGTTGAAGCTGGGAATCTCCAGACTTTCTGCCGCTTCTACTCTTTGGGCGGCGGACAGGCGGCTGAAGGAAGCAACATCGGGCGCTTGTGGCGGCTGGCGGTTAGGCCACAAGGCTCATAATCAGGCATTAAAGAACAGCATGTCTTGCTGCCTCAGGCCACGGTCGAGACTCGCATCGACCCCGACGATCACGGCTGAGACGACCTCATGCACCTTCGTCTGGCTATTACTCGCCCCCCCCCCCAAGTCCTCTTTGCCTCCTAATCTCTTACAACACGGACGACAGCATCTAGAAATACATGCTCTATCGTTGGAATCTTATCTGAAAGCTCCCCTCCTCAAATGTCGGACCGGATTTCCCGTCCATCCAGTCCATACTTGGAGCCTCCAAGGAAGACCGTGGAGTTGGAAGACTCCGGTGCTCAGGACTCCGGTAAGCCTCTTTGCAAGCCCACCACCCTCGCAATTTGGACTGGCCCCTGGTCGCGGGAGCTCCTAACAATTTCTATGACATGATAGCCGCCAACAGCGACGATGAGCATTTCTCTGATGCCAGCGAGGGTCATCAACTCCCACCTTCCCGCCCCTCCTCCTCCGCCGGGCGCGCATCCCCTATTCCCTTAACACGAGTGGAACGAGTCGATGAGAATCCAGCACATGGCGAAGTCCCCGGCACGGCGGCATATGAGATTCGAACTCAAGACGCTGTTCCGGATCAAGTCGAAGTCGTCCCTGATGGATCCCGCAGTCGGAGCACTTCGACATCCGGGCAGCAGCAACGACCGATGACGCCCAGTTCTCCGATTCCCCGGACGGTGGTCGAAAAGGTGGATCTGGATCAACCGAGCCACGGGGATATACCTGGTACCCCGGCTTACGAACTAAGAAGAGCGGATGCGGTCCCAGACGTTGTCGTGAAAGCTTCAGAGTCGGATGCTGCGCCCATCCCCGAATCCGTTTCCATTCTTACTGATACACCCGTCCCCGAGACGCTGCTGTCTCAAGTCAACTCGCCTACAAACGACGAAGAACAATCGCCACAAGTATCATCAGATGACAACGAAGAATCACAACCACATGCTCATCGGGCAAAACCCAGTGACCCGCAGCCGGATCAAACGGAAACGGTCACCGCGGCGCCCCCAGGTAAGTCGGGTTTCTGTTAACCACCAGCATAAGATTTCAGGGACGATTGACCAATGCAGACTCGCCTGCAAGCCATCGAAGTCACACCCGCCGGAAATCATCAGTGACGGGCGAAGAGTTTGGGGAAGAAGAAACGCCTGGGGGTGGTGCAGACGACTTCGATGATTTCACCGAGGGGCAAGACGACATGGGAGACTTCGACGACGCGGACTTTGGGGACTTTGACGACGGCTTCCAGGAGCCAAGTGCAGCGGTCCCCGTGGATGTCGAAGTCTCGCAACCTCCCACGCCGCCCTCTGTTGTATGTGAAACAATCTTCCTTCCGGGCCCCCTTGCTAACGACTCCCTCCAGCCGACCCTCCTCGATCTAACCACCTACCAAACAATCCCCGACCTCTACGCGGCGCTGGACGACCCTCTCGATCAACTCTTCCCCTCCACAACATCGCCATTACCATCTTCCAAACCCGAACCCATCCCCAACGCCACCGCCATCTTCAGCACCGAACGCTCCCTCTCCCTCTGGTCTCAACTCGTTGCTCCCCCACCTCTTCAGCCTCAGAACTGGGTGAAATCCCGCATCCGCCGTCTCTTCCTCGTCTCACTCGGTGTCCCCGTCGACCTCGACGAGATCCTCCCCGCCTCGAAACAGAAGAAACTCATCCTCCCCTCCCTCACCATCTCCGCCAACACCTCCTCAACCGCCACGCCTAATACCGCCTCTCAAAACCCCGGCACCGGCACCCCAACCCACGCAAGCTCCCACTCCCGCTCCCAGAGCCTCGCCGCCAACGCCAACCGCAACAGCGTCCAAAGTACAGCCGGCAGCCCTGGCGGCACGCCCCGCAGCACCGCCGCCC